CCCACCTCTCTGGTAGACGGAGGCGGAGAGTACTACCCATCCCAAAAACTTCCGTCCTCTCTGCCGCACCCTGTATTATGTATTATTATCAATATATATGTAGTATATGTATCAAAGAAGTATCAACAAAGAAGTAAATACTGTTTATTTTCCTCCGCAGACCAAAATATACTTTATTCTGGTTAAAAAATGTTGGCAATCCTAGGCACAGCGCAGAAGCCAGCCTCATTACTTATCAAAGTTACCCTATAGGTATTCAAGACATCGAAGTAGATTCCTTAGTCGATATTTTTAGAATGAGCTTAGTGACCCTCACAGAATTCTTGAACAAAAATGCCCCTAGACGGAACCTTGGCTCCGCGCCCACTATCGATGTAGCAGTTTTTGTGACCCTCATTAAACCTCAATGAATCCCTCGGATAGGTGCATAAAATGGATCTCGTTAAAAGACGTTCAAGTATCCTACAATCGCGTTTCCTTTGAAAAATCATTTCCAGTCGCTCACGTATCCTTTTGATTATCGGGATGCTTCAGAGAATACGTCTCTCTTTTATGGGGAATACCGCCGCTGGTATAAAGGAGGAAATACGATAGTTTACCTACTCTCGATTTCTCGAACGTGACCTAATTCCCAGGAAATGCGGCGAAATGGCTGTATTTGTAGAGTAGACACGCGAGCTTACTTCTCAGCTTCTGCACTCTAAAAAGTCTTTATTTTACAATGTTTGCTTTTGAGGATATGTTGGAATCGAAGCCAACTTTGGTGGCCCAGACCGAGAGATTGCGATTGCTTTTCGTGCACTGCACAGACGTCAGAATGATAATGTCAAATACTCTTTTAATAAGGAGTTCAGCAATGCTAGAATATTGGATCGTGGGAAAATACATTGAGATAACGTAACCGTCCGCTAGATGATATTTGTTGAAGTCGGGAATGCAGTATATTAGAGCCACACTTGATGAAAGAATGATGATTATCCGAGTTTTTTATATACTTTTTATGGCCTATTTACTGTGCTGTTTACGAAATAAGAACTGATAAAGTGATTTCTTATGTTAGGTAATTAAATAAAATAACACTTCTACTTCCCACGTATGCTGGCGAGGAAGTAATGTAATCGCGGAAAAATTCGAAAATGAGATATTATGTTTCTTGTACGTACATCACTCATTTCTGTCCGACTGTCTACTAATCCTTGGCCCGTCTACAACTTTTAAAGTTCTGTTTAGATTTTGATAAAATTTTCACACTATGCCAAGGACAAAAAAGTTTTACATTTTTTGAAAATCGTGTCGTAAAAATTTCTTAATGGTGAAAAATTGAGGGTACGGGGGTTGTAGGCGGGAGTATCGAAATTTTTTGATGTTAGTACAGGGTGTCCGCAAAGTTGGGGTTTTCCTTTACACGACGTGTAGATCTTGAAAACATAAGCAATTTTTCTTAGTACCATATACACCAATGTCTTAAGGGAACCGAGATAAAGGGCTCTGCAACATCAAAAATATCTGAATACCGTCCTGTAGCCGCGACCCGCGACATCACCGAGTGGTACAAGGTCACTGGCTCAACCCGTCGACAGAACTGGGTCGGGGTCAGTGTGTCAGGTCAGTATGCAACCTTCAACCGACGGTTACGGTCACGCGTGTAGAGGTAAACGAACCGGTATAATCGATTGCGTTTCAAAAAAAAAATAATAATGGCACACTCATACACCAATAATGAACTCGTTGATATGTTGTTAATTTATGGCGAATGTCTTCAAAATGCTACAGAGGCTTCGCGAGTGTATGCAGATCATTTTCCTAGACGAAATCATCCAAGGCCCCGCAGATTTGTGTACCTGGTCCAGAGAGTCAGGGATACGGGCCATTTGGAGGAATTTCGAGGTGGGCACAGTGGGAGGCCTAGACAACCACGAATAGTGCAAGTTGAGGAAGAACTACTGAATCGCAGAGACGAGAATCCCTCAACAAGCACTAGAGACGTGGCTAGAGAAGTGCAAGTATCAAAAACTAAAGTGTGGCAAACGCTGCGTGAAGAGGTTCTGTATACGTTTCACGTCCAACGTGTACAAGCCCTTCAACCTGACGATTTTCCAGCAAGAGTGCGGTTTTGTGAGTGGTTGTTGCATCAACATGACAATAATCCGGACTTTTTGAAGTGCATATTGGTGACAGACGAATCTACGTTCACGCGTAATGGGGTGAATAACTTTCGCAACACTCATGTTTGGTCAGTAGAAAATCCGCACGCTGTCCATCGGGCACATTTTCAACAAACATTTTCGGTGAATGTTTGGGCTGGCATGGTGAACGGTATGCTCATTGGACCATTTATTCTCCCAAATCGATTGGACGGGATGCAATACCTAGACTTTATACGCACCATTTTGCCTTCCTTGTTAGAAGATGTGCCATTAAGTGTAAGACAATCAATGTGGTTTCTGCAGGATGGTGCACCGCTCCATTTTCGACGCGAAGTGCGTGAGTTTTTAAATGAATTATTTCCGAATAGGTGGATCGGACGTAATGGACCCGTAGCGTGGCCTCCGCGATCTCCAGACCATATGATTTTTTCTTTGGGAGAAACGAAACGCTTAGTGTACAAAACTGAAGTGCATACGGTTGACGAACTTCGTCTCAGAATTGAACAAGCTGGTGCTTTCATTCGGGGGAGGGACTCCATTCTCAAAGCCTGCACCGATGCTTGGCTACGTCGTGCACGCACCTGTGTTTTTGAATCAAACGGCGATAACTTCGAACAATACCTATAAAGTACGTTTACCTAAAAACTGAAAACGCGGCGACAAATATACCTCTGTTCGTGGTCTGCACCACCGCCTGCGTCTGCTCGGTAGCGCAACAGCTGCTTTCATTTTCTGTTGGAGCGGTATGATTTCGGGCAGAGACGTACTTAGCCGTTCTGGTCAACTGGAGAGTGAGTACTTTTTCCTTTATCTTTTTTACTTGGTCGCCCTCGTTTCACTACACATTACCTTTGTTATTTCAAGGGTAGTTGTTTCTGAAAAGGACAACCCCATCTTTGCGGACACCCTGTATATTAATACACTTCCAATCACGATAATTATATGCACCTGTTAGACATATTTCGCCCATAATAGATTGTCCCGTACTTTTGCCCTCAAGAACGATAAAAAAATGTTTTCGATAAGCGTCCCTGGGTATGCCGACTCCAACGGCTGCGTTCGGCGTGCCGCTGTTGGTACGTGTCCTGTATGACTGGTGCACTGTAGGCGCTCTGCAGCGTGGGTCGCATCATCCTTTCAGATATTGGAGAGAGGCGACGCGACGGTGCCAGATGGACGATACTACGGGTAGGGCAAAGACTTGATCCGTTTAATTTCCCAGTTATACATGTTCGTAACTAAGTTTTTCTTAGAGAGTCTAACTTAAACTTGCCTCTTTCCTCCATCCAATCAAAAAGAGCCGACCACCGACAGCTGTTTCGTAATTTTTTGGCAACTCATCAGCATGGTCTAGGCTTCGTCTTTGAGACAATAAACAATATTATGGTAGGGTCTTAGCTGTGCTGAACTGCTTGATGAACTGATGACGGCGTTGCATTGGAGCAGTAGAGTCAACCTAAGTGTTTCAATTTTTTCTAATCTCGAAAACTGTTTTGGTCATCTTTGAACTCTATTGAGAAATATTAGACGTTATCGGATGTGCACGGGGTTGTGCATTCGTCATTTTCAATAAGAAAGGAGCATGCTACGAAGATCAATAAATCCGGCCTTGTACTATTTTATTTGAAAGCGAAAACAGTTATTACGAGGGTGAAACAAATATAAACGAGACTTTTTTTGTAATTCATTTTTATTTTAAACGCAAAAAAGAATATAGTTTATTTTTCTACATAATCTCCTGATTTGGAAAAAGATTTTTCCCAGCGGACAGGCAGGTTTCCAATTCCTTCCACGTAGGTCGTGTCTGCAGCCAATTGCACACGTAGGCTTCAACCTCAGCATCACTATCGAATCTTTGGCATTCCCAAGCTTCCTTGAGAGGGCCCAACACATGAAAGTCACAGGGTGACAGGTCTGGACTGTAAGGAGGGTGTTCCAATGTTTCCCACCCCAGTTGCTAAAATATTTCCCTAGGCTGCTGTATGGGGGCGAGCATTGTCATGGAGAAGAACCACTTCCCTGATCGATAGGCCTCGTCTTTTGCGGCGATATGCAAGTCGGACCTCGCAGTAGTAGGCCCCATTAATTGTCCTGCGCTCGTGCAAAAAATCGAGATACAGCAATCCACGCTGGTAAAAAAAAAATGGTAGCCAAAACCTTGCCAGCCGACAAACGTGACTTGGCTTTCACTGGTCCAGGTTCTCCATACGCTTGTATAGACTCTGGGGTATAGTGGTGCACCCATGTTTCATCACAGGTGATGATGTGAGTGAAAAATTGGTCTCCTTATTCCTGAAATCGTGCAAGAATACGCCCACACACCTGAAGACGATGCAACTGCTGATCAGCTGTGAGAATGCGAGGAACACGCTTGGCGCACACCTTACGGTACCCTAGCTCCTCTGTGAGTATGTGCTCCCATAACTTATCTCGACCTCACTTGCAATTTCACTGCTGATGTTGTTCGCTGTAATGCTGGTGCGAGGTCTGCGGTCATGGCTCTCATTTTCAACACGAGCACGACCCTCCACGAAGTGTTTATGGCATAAACCTTATGCCATGCAAACAGTCTGGCACACGACAGTGTCTCTTCCCCGAACTGGGCAGTCAGTCTCCTCAAGATTTCGTCCCGTTTTACGCTTTCTGCGGCGAGACACTTGATTACAATACGTTGCGCAATTGACGGAGGTATAGTTGAGCGGGTCGAGGGGGCGAGCCCGCGCGCTTCCCCTACTCCTGACAAACCTACCCAACAACAAACATAGCGGGAACGTTCTCCCTCCACTATTGTGCCTGAAGGTCGAAAAGTCTCGCTTTATTTGATTCACCCTCGTACTTAAGTTTATCACTTACATGTTCTGATATTCCTCCTCCCAAGCTAAAATCCTGGTGAGTTCGAAGGCTCCATGAGTGAGAGGCCTGACTTTATTGTTGTGGATCTCACAGACGTGCATATAATGGCCATTATCGCCATCTTTCACTGGAAGACGTACTAAAACCTTGGTGCCGTTTTCATTGAACACAGGGTGGAAAATCGGCTCTGTCCACCCTATGTGCTCTTTTTCTATGTGGAACTGGAATGAAACAGAATCATAAATTTTCCCTTGCATCACAATGAAACATATGCATCAGAATAAGATGGCAATAAAAATTAATGCTATAAATTCATGCAAAAAATGCCCTAGGGGAATCCCTTCAGGAAATACAGGTCCTTGAAGAACTCCGCATAAAACATACGGAGAATGGGTCCCAGTCGATTTTTATGAGAATTGAGTATGATATATTTCTCTATTTCCTGTACGAAAGCTCTCTTGGGATACTTTTATGAATTACAATACGTAGATATATAATGTTAAGACCTGTCTATTCCTGTTTATTATATGCGAGCTCTATGTTTAGAGAGGGTTTATTAGTAGATTAATAGCAGCCGAGTCAGTTACGTTTTCTGTGTTGAAGAGTACTGAGATGTTCTGAGTACTGTTATTTTTTGTTAAAACGGTGTGTTGTTTCTAGTTTATTGTGATCGAGACTAGCTTTATGCACAATGCCTAGAAATTGTGTAAATAGTGCGAACAGTTTTTGTTATGTGTGCGGAGAGCTATCTTTTAAATCCCAAAAACGTACTTTTACTCCCCTTGTGTTGTAAGCATACGAATTTCATCTGGGAATTAAAATTGGCGACCAAGATAAACTATGGGCCCTCATACATGTAGTAAGACTTGTGTCACGTTGTTAAGGGGCGACAATCGTAAAATGCCCTTTGCTGTACCAATTCTTTGGAGAGAACCGAGAGAGCTCACTACTTGCTATTTTTGCCTCACAAATATTAAAGGTATTGGACCAAAATCAAACATACTGTTAAGTATTTTAATTTACCATCAGCTTTGCGGCCCGTTAAGCTTAGTGATGAACTTTCTATCCCAGTTCCACCAGAATCTTGGTCTTTGGATGAAAATTTCTGATCCTGTGGTTGACCTGCCAGGATGTTCAACAGCGCCGCATTTGATCACTCAGGGCGAACTTAATGACTTAGTTCGAGAATTAAATCTGTCAAAATCCCAGTCAGAACTCTTAGCGTCAAGATCAAAAGGATGGAATATTCTCCACGGTGATGTTAACGTTACTTTTTACCGAAAACGGCAACAGGACCTCACACACTGTTTCCGTCAAGAGAGGGAGTTGATATATTGCTCCGATGTCAACAATTTGTTTTAAGCGTTAGGACAGAAACATGACCCAAATGATTGGCGCCTGTTCATTGATTTCTCTAAGCTTAGTTTAAAAGCGGTGTTGGTACACAACGGTAATACATGTCCATCTGTACCTATAGCGCACGCAGTTCATATGAAGGAATCATATGCAAATATGCGGGTTCTGTTAGAGCATATTCGATATAATGAATATGGATGGGCCATATGTGCAGATTTAAAGGTAATAGCCCTTCTTCTTGGAGTGCAACTAAGTTATACCAAATATTGTTGTTTTCTTTGTGAATGGGACCGTCTTACGCGAGATAGTTATTTTGAACAGAAGGAGCCTCAAAAACATTGCTCATGAACCACTAATTGATGCCAAAAACGTGTTGCTTCCACCTTATATATTAAGTTGGGACTGATGAAAATTTTTGTGAAAGCTCTGGATCGAAATGGAAGAGGGTTTCTGAGTTTAAAGCAAACATTTCCGAGACTTAGCGAGACAAAAATTAAAGAGGGCATATTTGTGGGTCCACAAATACGGAAAATCATGAAGAATGATGTGTCTTGACAGTGCTCTAAATGAAACTGAATTACGAGCACAACATCGACAACATATTGATGATATTAATGTTTATTCTACTGTTACTACTCTTACACCCACATCCTTATATTTTACGAGTATAAGCAGTAAATAAAATGCCTTATTGCAAGAAAACCGTGGGTGATAGAAAAAATCGAATGCTATTTCCGGCTTTTTGAGTACGTTTTACATAATAACCACCTTGGGTGATATGCATAATTGCGAGTGGCTACTTTTGACTCGCATTTTTAAAGTAGCCACTCCATTTGATATGCATAAAAATGTAAGTAGAAGCTCACACTCATAAGTTTCTACTCTTTCCGTGAGGCTGTACTCGCTCATGGAGTGTCGACTTTAATTTTTATATGCATAAAAGCGAGCGTCCACTCCGACCGCTGAGTACATACTTAAAGAAATGCGAGATACCTTAGTAGTAGACTCAGCTTTATGAGAAGTGGATGTCTTCACGAAATGGCCGAATTTATGCCTATTTATCAGCCTAAAAAGATGTTTAAAGATCGTATGGAATCAAGGGAAGTAGACTATTGGGCCTTATATCGGTTTAGAAGAGGTAATGTTGAGTGGATAAGTAACCATTTTCTTGGAGAGACAGAAGAATATGGGGGCGGTGCTTTAAGCAATATAAAAAGAATTGAAGCCACACGACCTCCCACAGCGTTTCCAATTTGGTGAATGGGCGCTGGCAAAGTTGGAGGAAGATCCACATTTTTATCGAAAAATTGCTCATTTCTGGTTGAATGGGTACGTTAACAAGCAAAATTGCCGCATCTCGAGTAAAGACCAGCCAGAAGCATTGCAAGAGCTACCAATGCATCCCGAAAAAATCACTGTTTGGTGTAGATTATGGGCCGGTGGTAACATCGGGCCGTACTTCCTCAAAGACGACAATGGCTGGAACGTAACTGTGAATGGCGAGCGCTACCGTGCGACGATAACAGACTTTTTTTCGCCCAAAATGGAAGAGCTGGACTTGGCTGACATACGGTTTCAACAAGACGGTGCCACATGCCACACCGCACACGAAACAATGGCCCTATTGAGAGGCGAGTTCGGTGAACAGTTTATCTCACGTTTGGGGCCCGTCAATTGGCCGCCTAGATCGTGTGATTTAACGCCGTTGGACTATTTTTTGTGGGGCCATGTTAAGGCTAATGTCTACAGGGATAAACCAGCAACGATTCACGCACTGGAAGCCAATATTGAAGCATTTATTCGTGAGAGACCGGCCGATATGTTGGAGAGAGTGTGCCAAAATTGGACCTTGCGCATGGGCCATCTAAAACGGAGCCGCGGCCAACATTTACATGAAATAATCTTTAAACATTAAATTATATCAACCGTTCTATCGACTCAAATAAAGATTTAATCGTTTTTTTCAATTTTTTTGTGTTTTTTTTAAAATCAAATCCTATACCTCTTAAAAAATCACCCGTTATATATATAATACTCACTCACAATCCATACCTACTGTATGGAAAAACAAAAAAATACAACTAACATTGCATACTGGGACTTGATTCTCCTTGTAGAAAATTGAACAGTTCTTGTTCCCATCCTTTCAATTTTATTGGTTTGTTTCCGGCTTGATTTCTCTCTGTCTTCGCTTTTAATCTGGTTTTTATGTTTTGAATCTCCTTCCAAATCTGCCCTTCACTATATTTAACTCCTAATTCGTCTTCTACCTTTTCTTTTATTTCTTCAACCGCCTTACATCGTTTATTTTTGATTTCCGGGATGTTAGATTTTTTCAACAAAACGGGATACTGTTTAATTATATTAACAAATACTATTTGATTTTCAGATGAACGGTCTTCAGAATAGGTTGACATCATGTAAATGAACAAATAATAATCCACCTAAACACCACCGACACAAACGTTTGCCGGTATACAGTAGTAACTGGTCGCAATAGAGAAATTGCCAATTCGGCGAGACAACAAAATAGAGAGTGAGAGTGCCTACTCAAGTATTTCATTAGCATTTGAGTAGCCTCTCCGTTTCTCGACAAATATTTTATGCATATCAAAACCGGGTAGGTTCTCCCTAACAGGAGTAGTTACTCGCTATAATATGGAGTTGCTACTTCTGAGAACCCACTCACCTTTATGCATATCACCCCTTGTTTTGTCCATGTCACAAAAGATTATTTTAATTTTGTTCACCAGTGCTGTAGTTCTCAGACCGGATACTTTTTTTAGTAACCACCATGAAGGCCGAAGGTCTAAACATCCATGGGTACCGTGGGACTATAGGGGGATACACGGACTAGCGAGGTAATGCGTGTGCATGCAACATGGCTTAAGGCGCGTACTCACCGAACGCGCAAAATGTTTATAAATGTTTGTAAATTTTGGTGTGGATGGAAGAAATAAATAAATGGTAAATATAACAATGAACAAAGTCACATTGAAAGGGAAAACATCTAGATCTTTTGGCGTAACGAGAGGCCTGAGACAAGGGGACTCGCTATCTACAACATTGTTTAACTTTACGCTGGAAGCTATTTTACGTAATTGTGGTATACAAACCGACGGAGTTGTTTACTATAGAAAACATCAGTTGATTGCTTACGCCGATGATATAGCAATAATAACCAGATCCAAATCAGAACTTGAGAAGACGTTTAGAAGGTTAGAAGAAACTGCCAAACGTTTTGGGCTTCATATAAATGAAGACAAAACAAAATACCTTGTAATGAGAGGAAGCGATGAAGGAAAGTTAACAATAAAAAGTAGTGCAGAGAATACTGTTTCGAGAAGGTGAATCAATTTGAATATCTAGGGGTCACAATAACAGATAAAGCAGAAGAAGATTTAGAAATTGAAAAAAGAATAGCAAAGAAAAGCAATGGGGGCTTTAAGCAAGATGATAAACTCGAGGTGGATATCAAGGAAAAGAAAGGAAAGGATATATAAATCAGTTATCCAACCATCAGTACTTTACGGCGATGAAGCTTGGGTGTTATGCCAGAAAAACGTACAGAAATTGGAACGCTGGGAAAGAAAAATGTTACGTAAAATATATGGGGGCACAAAAAACAACGATGGTACATGGAGAAAGCGAACTAATAAAGAACTGATGGAGATATATAACCAACCCAGTATAATACAAAAAGCTCGAGCGCAAAGAGTGCGCTGGTTAGGACCCGTTTACAGAATGCCGTCTCATAGGAATGCCAAAAAAGTTTTGTTTGGAGGAGAAGGTAGTAGAAGAAGAAGAGGAAGAGCGAAGAAGCAGTGGCTGGAAAGTGTCAAAAGAGGATATACAAAGACTAGGCATACTAGACTGGGAGGAAAAGACCAAAAACAGAAAAGCGTGGAAAGAAGTTGTCAAAAAGATAGAAGCCATGGGCCTTCAGGCCTGAAGCGCTGAATTATATATATAAATATAATTTTACATATTGGTTTCTTGATTATTTAGGTTAGGTTTTCAAGAACTGTTTTGGTTATTTACTCTTTTTATTATTAGATATTAGGCTATCATGGGGTGGGATAATGTAAGGTGTATACAAATCATAAATATATGTATATATAAGACCAAACCAGAATTATGGGGTCCAAAACGTGGCTTCTATCACATAAAAACTAGAAAACAAGATGCTTGGAATGATATAGCTTCTAATATCGCCAATCTAATTTCAGGAGGAACATACAGTCTATAGTTTGTATCACACCTGGATATTTCTGAAGTTATTTTTGAAAGCAAAAAATCAAAATCATCTGGAGACATTCGCGTAAAGTTTTTAAACAAACTATTTCTATCATTTGTTTTTATATCACAAACTACATGCACTGAACCTCTTGTTTTTAAAAAATTGGACACTCTAAATTTGCGTTTTTTATTTCTTTCGCGATTTTTCTGTTCTATTAACTTATACATTAATACGAAATATGTAGCAGATATGGCAGATTTGTTTTTTATTTTAAAAGACGGCATTTTTGATATATTTTAATTTTTCGCCCGACATACCAAGGGAACGTCTACAAACACGTTCAAATCGCGTGCGAAGCGACTGTCTCTTGTATATGCTTGTTCGGTGAAGACAACATATTTGTAGGCATTTATAAGCATGTACAAACATTTATAAACATTTGATATCATCGTTTGCGAAATATTTCTTGGTCAGAGACCGTCTACCACATACGGAACTTATTCTCATATTTTAAATATGTTGTCTTTGAACAAAACTCTACAGCGGATGAAAGTGTTAGTGATGATTAGTTTCTGAGAAATAGGAGAAGTTTGTCCAATTTGCAAAAATGGTGTCGATTGTAGTTATACTCCGAGGGTTATTATACTGAATAAAGTATTTCATTTTGAAACCTTTTAGGAAGGTGTTGGGAGGTGCGATGCTGTTCTTTACCTTAATTCTTACAATGTCAATTTATACGTTAACACTGAAATTGATCTGACACGAGTTGCTCGATAGTTAAGAAGGGTCACGCCAATTTTGAAGACGAAAGCGAAAGTAAAAGCGCACATAGCTTTAGGGTATTTATTGTCTATTAATTTGAGTTTTTTTGTTCTGATCTGCTTAAGATATATCAAACGGTTTGAGTTACCTTTTTCAAAAGACAACGAACTCCAAACCGGTGGAGAACATATCAAAAACACCACATGTTCCTAGGGCTTGGGCGCCCGATTTACGTCTGAAATAATGTCCATTCCTGAATCCTTATTATTTTCATAAACTTGATACGATATCCATAGTTGATTAGTGCTATCAGATATTTCACAAGCTGAAATATTAATATTTCTAAATCTCGAATCACGACTTTTACCAAATACCTTGAGAAAGCGTGACGTGATCACTACTTCGAGAACTAGGTGAATGGTATCATAAAATCGCGGTTTTAACGTAAAACTACTATGGGTTGCAAGCGATACCGTGCCTTATAGGCTTTGGTAATTGACTCCATGCGATTTTATCGCTCAGAAAAAGCAACGGTACAGGGTGCGGCAGAGAGGATGGACGTTTTTGGGATGGGTAGTACTCTCCGCCTCCGTCTACGAGAGAGGTGGGGAGGGTGCCGTTTGACTCGTGAGATCCTAGCATTATTTTACCAGTTGTCGTTATGGAGCCTTGGACACAGCCCGAGCATCCATGGACATTATTCGCCCTCTCTTCCCTGGTCGCCTTATTTCCAGGTTTGGCGATGTTCAGTGGCCTTGAAGGGCGAAAATCGCGTGGAATTCGCCCAAGTTGAGAGAGCGATGTTGGAGAGAGTCTACGCGAACTTCCAAGAACGCCTCCAGCACTGCATCAACGATTTCGGCCACCACATGCCTGATGTGATTTTCCACACTTGACTGTCTCAATTGCTATTTCCATCAATAAATTTGTTTTCGAGTAAAAATTAACTATTTTATGATTTTTTTAAAACCGTCCATCCTCTGCCGCACCCTGTATAAGGTATCACAGGTATCCATAAATAACTATATCGGCTATCTCCATATTCGATACTTTATTAGGTTTTAAAAACATGACTAATTCCCTTTTGCGGATACCATCTTCTTCGTCTAACGCTAGACCGACGTTTGACTATTTCGCCGTTGAATAATTGTAGGATGGTATATATTAACCTTCATAAACCCGTGGTCAGAAATTTACGTTAAATACGGAGTGGGGTGCAAATGTACCCCAACGTTTTTCTGGCTTATTTAATTACTGTAATTAAAGATTTTCAAAAAATAAACACATTCTGATTATAAAAAATATATATTTTTACATAAGTATGCTATAACATTGATAAACAAACACATTTGGAAAAAATAATTTGAAATGATTATAATATAAAGAAAGATAATTAAGAAGATAAATATGTGATATTTTAAATAATAATTTAATTATCACACTTATTACAAACGGTTATATTTTTAGAATGTTCTGCACATACGTACTGATTACACCGAATACAAAACTTTCGAGATTTCCTGTCTTTACTTCTGTCGCATAAAAAACATCGCTGCTGTCTCCGAATAGCGGGAGCAGGTGGTTCATTCCTTACAATATTTAATTCTGGCAAAATTGTTAATATGGATTGTTTTATATTGGAATGTAACGACTTGTCATTATGGTATCTACGAATTATATTCTTCTTAATTAATTCTTGGCCCAACTCCAACAGAAACATTCTTCTCCTATCTAAACGATTTTTTTTCCAATCTGGATTTTTCAACATCCATAGTTTATAGGCGTTGATGCCACCAATATCCAGCAGATGAAAAAATATTACCATCGGCCATCGATTACTTTTTCTTTGAGTGGTAAATTCCTTTTCCAATTTATCTGTTGTATCTACTGCACCCTTAGTTTTGTTGTAGTGTAAAATGATGTCCGGTTTATAGTCACATTCCTCTCCACTTATTCTGTCATCGTTATGTTCTGTTGATAAAAGGATAACTGCCGCATTTTTCTTTGGTACGTAAGAAACTAATGTTTTATTTTCCATAAAAGCAAACATGCTTGAAAAATCTTTCTTGTATTTTGCTGGAAGTAGTTCTTTTGGAATATAAGGTTTATTATTACGCAGTGTTCCACACAAGGTAATGTTTTTATCTAAGAGCTTATTGGCCAACTCAATACTGGTAAAAAAGTTATCAGTAGTTATCCCATATCCTGTAGATAAATGGGTTACCAGGTCTAACACTACCCTTTGACCTTGACCTTTCTCTGGTTTGTTTCCTTCTTTGCCTAAAATTTTAAAATCTATAATATCTGCATGTTCTAGGACATAGCTTACCTAAATAAATTTGCATATTCACTGTATACGCCAAACTACAATCAGCCAAGGCCCAAATTTTTAATCCATATTTGTCCGGCTTACTCTTCATGTAAACCCGAAAAGGAGCCCTGCCTCGGAACGGAACTAACTGCTCATCCACGCACAAGTGTTCAGATGGATTTAAAGATTTCTTGCAATTAGATACAAAAACATCAAAGACATCTCTGATTGCGGCAAATTTATCAGTGCGTTTTCTTTCTTCTCTTGTTTCAAAATTGTCGAATCTTAGAAAGCACATAATTTGTTGGAATCTGTTGCGAGACATAGTAGATGATACCAAAGGTCGACATAAAGTTGGGTCTTGGCTCCATAATACGCATATTGGCTCTTTAGCAGCATGCCAGGCTCCAAAAATAATAAGCAAACCAATAAATGCTTCCAGTTCCTCTTGCACAAAAGGAGAAAAAGCCTTCCCATTTCTTGCATAATATGATTCGGCTTTTCTATTCGTCTCCGATAAAATCACATTCATAATATCTTGTGAAAAAAATAGTTCAAAGGATTCTTTTATGCTGGAAAATTGGGAGCTATATCTCGTCAAACCTGTTGGACTAGTTTGTATATTACATTTTCTTCTCTTTGTCCTCGCAGTAAGTGGAACTTTTGCCCACACACTACCATCTTTAGAAGTATAAGTTGGATTTTCTGTATAAGTTATTGATTGGCCAACTACAGCTGAAGAATCTGCCAAATCATTCTCACTATCACTAACTTGCAAAACATCATCTATCTCATTAGTTTCAGTCACTATATCAGTCTCTTCGATATCACTTGAACCATTTTCTAGTATCGAATCATTAAAATAATGGTCGTAAATATCCGTTTCTAATATCGCCAATAGTTCTTCGTCTGTTAGCTTATTTTCATTTCGAAATTTCGGTGGTTCACTCATTTTTATAAGCGCGTAGGCGACAATCACTACAAACGTAACGACACACACGAAACCTAAGATTATAATGCGATAATTGCGTGGACACGTTATACATAGCCGCTATTGGGATTCCCCGACAGTGTTGCCGTCACGATACGGGGAATCTCCGTCGTTTGAAAAATTTGGGGTTTATTTATACCCCAGTTAGTATTCAGCGTATGCAAAATATTTACCTATAGTTACATACCGAGCGGGGTGCAGCTGCACCCCAAGGAACAAAACTCACTATAGTGAGTGTGAGTGTGAGTGTGATTTATTGTAACAAGTTATAACTTGTTACAATAAATCACAAATTGTTTAAATTTTTTTATACTATATTAGAAACATATTTGAGGAACATAACTCAAAGGAAATTAAATTAAAAAAAATATCTTAGAAAATAACACCAATAAAATTGATGCCTGGGGTGCAACTGCACCCTGCTCGGGTTTATGAAGGTTAATAAGAGCACTAGCTATTTTACAGCAATTTAAAATCGACTTCACGCGCACATTCACCATTTTTGTAAATCAGCAAACCCCATCCTCTATTTCTCGGAAACTAATCATAGAATTGCTTTGGTTCCATGAGAACTTTTTTTCAGGAAAGCGAGAAATATATGGAATCGCACGTAGAACTGCAGTGATCGATTACTCGAGAAGTTGACGTTACATGGTTATGAAAACTTGGGTTTATGATATAACTGTTATGAGAAACCTAGCTCAAATATTTTCAAAATAGTGGCACTTCCGGTTGTACGGTTTCCTTCCGCTAACGGAAGTTGCTTTTCCTTGAACAACCTTTGAACAAGAAAATTCAATGAAATTCTAACAACATAGTAACCAGGTATATCATTGCATGATTATATTTATGGAAACTAGTTAGCTCATTCACATCGCCTAGGATGGACTAGTCCTAACTCAGTATTGCTGATTTTTTAATTACTCGAAAGTAGTATTTTTTTATTCTTGCTCGACTTTAATAAGAGATCTGAAAAACTTATATCCTGCAGTTTTTCGGACCACTGATCATGCATCTGTTACAAGAACCATTATATTTTCTTACAAGTATACTCCAGTACCAGTACCAATAATGATACAACTGTATTGGAAGAATATCGTCTTTCTCAAAAAATGTATTTTGGTGATGATAATAACAAGAATACGTTTTCCTTTTTAGCTTAAAGAACAGGATTTCCAAGAATGCCACGGCCAACTAATTTTTGTAGAGGCTTTTAGAATTAGCTATTTTACTTTGGGGCTAGTCCATCTCTTGCGATCTAAATGAGTTTTTCATATTCGGCTTCACGTAGTCATCTCCTGTCAAAATGACGTTGGATTATACACGGTGTACCATTTTATTCTGCTTACCTAAATATTTATAAAACTGGGCAATCCAGAAAAAAAAGTTCCAAAACAAAAGGTGTAGGGTTTGGAAAGAACAAGTGATGGTGACCTTCTAGTTCATTTTAGGGACAAGTAGATATTTCCAAATGGAACCCCTCCTTTTTCACATTTGACTTTGACATTCAAAGGCCATTTCAAACTTAAATCAAGACTTCAAAAGCAAGAGCACAGTTGTGAGGTTTGTGGGGATCACCCAAAGGTTCCAAAATTTCCAAAAGAAACTTCTCATTATATGAAAAATGAAAAAAGCAGGAACCTTTACGTACAAATGTAACCTAGTCCTCAATGTCAAGATATTGTCAAGCTCAAATGTTATTTGAGGCCAAGAAAACATCCGGGCGTGAGATTTTCTGCCTTTTCCATCTCCAGTATGAAAATAAGAGTTTTATTTTGGAAATTTTTACTTGAATTTGTAGGTCATGGTCAAGGTTACCTTTGGGTGATCGCACACACTATGCTGTCGAACATTTTTGCTACACTTATTTGTTTTCGGTATCTCGATTTGATTTTGAAAGCAATTGACAAATCCATGGCCCAGGTGATATATTTAGCTGTAAAATTTACTCCTCTTTTCAATTCCGATGTTAAAAGGAAGGAAGGGTTTCATTGCAAAATATTCACTTGACCTTGAAATGACTTCAAAGCTCGTAGTCAGTTATTGCCAAGGTTGCTATCATGTTACACCCTCGAAACCCTGCAGCTTTCACTTGAAAAATTTTTTCTACCATGCACAGTTTTAGAAATATTTAGGTGCGGAGATTAAAATTAGACACCTTGTACAGTGCCGTTAAACGGTTATTCAAGAACTTGTAAAATCCAAATTCTAGTGGTGTCGTTTATTAGCACTTTTTAGGACATATTTGTGTCATAATGTTTTTGTTTTCTATTGCCTTTTTATTCTTCGACACCGTATTTTTTAGGCATCGTTTAATCACGTGAGGTGCTTACGAGTCTCGACATATGTCGTGTATTTTTTTCCGAAGAGTGGCTAAATTAGAGCGAAGTAGAAGGAGCTGATGATTTTATTGAAAATCACATGGATATGTTGGTTCCGATAGTCAGTCCAGCCAAATTTCATGGCATCTCACCAGGGAGGACGTAATTAATGGATGCCTCCTTTGGAATTTCCAGTTACGCGTCCACTATAAGATTCTGTTAATTTTACGCATCAAAAGAATGCGAAACTTTGCCCCACCGCGCGAGATGAAGACGAAAGAAAAGGGGAAAGCGTACCAGTGTGGAGGTAGCTTAGGGGATATTACAAGAAACACATAAACTCACAGTTCTGACAAATCAAAAGGAATATTTAGGGTAATGGTGTGAACCGAACCCACATTATCCGAGTTTCCAGGCCGCTACCTTTCCATTAGGCTACACTACCTCGGTGGTCTCACAAATATAAAGGTGATATGTAAGCTTCATTCCCTACCCCAATTACCGTTACTGGGGCTGGCCAGTTACCCGTATCTCTATGACCCAGGCAGATAATTTTTGGAGTTAAGTTGTAGCATTGTATCCAGCCCAAAGTTCATAATAATTCCCATGTTCAATATACGTTTTCCCTCTCTTCCCCTCTTTATTTGTGATACCGGTCAAGTTAGCAAGCTGAAATTCGGTGTGATAAAACTGAAAATACTATATTTTGATATAAAGATGGCAGCTGAAAATCTGCAAAATAGCGACTGGCATCATTTTTCAAATAGAATAGAGGTCAACGTGGTACCTCATTTTGCTGCTTATGAGTACCTCATGAGCTTTAAATATAAAATCAATAACCCCTAAAATGGTGGACTAGCAGGCTGTCAAACTTTAGCCTTTTTGGTCAACACGTTTCAGTATCTTACGTCAAACTTTTGGTAGGTCTCACAATGCAAGGGCACCGAGGCTGCTATGAGGAGCTAGTAGAGTTAGTAGAACTGGGGAAAAGCCTCGTCAATCTCGATATACTAGAGACAAAGATGCTTCAAAAAGGAAATCTTCACACGAGCACGTTTTGATGATAAGTTATTGAGTTATAAGCGATTTTACATTTTAGAGTTATAAGGTACTCATAGAAAGATTCAAAATCTGATATTACATTTTATTTAAAAAAATGGTTCAAGTTGGCGTCCAAGCGTCATCCTGAAATTTTTATAATACAGGGTGTGAACGTAATGATGGTCATTATTTAAATGGGTGATAGAGGGCGTTAAAAGACGCAAAAAGTGTCATATAACAAGGGGGTCAAAACGGCATTTTTTTAGAAAAAAGCGACTTGAAAGTAAAATAAATCTGACAACGCCGCAAAACTATGCAAAAGGATAACTAAACACTGTTACCGTTTGTGATCGATTGCCGGTTCGATAAGAGAGATGAAAGACCGACGCGCTGTTGTCATGTGTGTTTTAAATATTTAATTTAATGAAACTTACTTACTGACTACAAATTTTGGCTTAACTTAGAAAAAAGTAATGCCATTTATTTGTTAATTACCCAATTTAAAAACATTCTAGATTAGATTATAAAAATTAGTAAGATTGTTGCGATTGTGGTCGATATAAAGCACTTACAGTTGTAAACTATAAAGCCATTTAGACAAAATCTATTGACTTTTGGACCATGGGTCATATGAACTTTTTGACTTGTTTTGACCTATTACCCATTTCAATAATGACTACCATAACGTGTCCACCCTGTATAATAGCTTTCTATCAACTTACTAATTACAACAAAACGTGCTCAGCAGTTTTATGTAACAGTCGGGAAACCGCAAGCGTTTACCTTTTGGAGAAAAAATTGGAGACATTTTTATTAATTTTTAAGTACTGCCGTTATCGCTATTTTATCTAATACAAGAACTATATACAAAATTAACCACTTTGATGTTTATGGTAGCTGTTGTAATGAAGCAATATGCTCACTCCGCGGGAATCATTTGTGTTGTGCCGGGTACTGGCTCGCTATTAGACTAAGATATCCAGAATTTCAGAAAAAAAATGTATGATAAGATTTTACAACAGAAATATATTTCCTGATAGTGAACGAAAAGGTTGTTTATCTAGAGATACAAGAAATTTTAATGGGTGTATGTATACAACAGATATCTAAAACACAATTCCTTAGTTTTTTTTCTTGAAAATTCATAATTGCCACTAATTTTTTTGAAGTTAGTAGTCATTGTTTAGGAGCTGTGTAAATTGGATATATTATGTGTCACTTTGAAAGGTTTATCCATCGTCTACAACTCTTCTGCAAATCACATCATATTGTTTTGAATATAGCTGAAAAACTTGTGTCTCTCTGAAGTTCAATAAAAGGGCTACCCAGCATAACGTTTGTATCTCTAGACGGAAGATATATCAACTTTCCTGTAGTAAAATACTCCTATACATTTTTTTCTAGAACATCGTTTTGGCTAGTTAGCCTTATTTATACAGGATGTTTCAGAACTAAGGGATCAAATTTCTAGGGGTTATTCAGTGTAACAGTAGAAACATTTGAGTATAGGGACCCATATCCGGAAAAGCGTCACTGCGGCACTACGGCCCTAAGACGCGTTAAAATTTGTAAAGACGATGAATTGCCTAAATAGGATTTAATGGATTTAATTTTTGTTTTTTGTACATGATATCATCACAACAATTGTTCAAAATGTCTTCCTCCAACTTGAATACACCGATTTAAATGTCGCCCTACTATTAAAAATACCGTCTCTTGTGAAAGAGGCTTCATCGGTCCATAAAACATAGCGTAAAAACTTTGAACTCTAGGATGATAATCGGCTGCAGTCAATCCTTGAACTCTCTGAAAGGGGTAAGGATAAAGTTGTTGCTCGTGTAGCACCCGCCAGACGGAAGCGTTACTCGTATTCATATCCTCAGCAATGTGACGTTTGCTACTTGATGGTTGGTCGGCAACTCGCTGAAGGATCTCTCCTTCAAATTCGACCGTTCTTACGGTTCGAGCAACACCAGTATCATGCATGTTGGTTTTAAACATGCCTGTCTCGGAGAGCCGTCGATGAATAGCAATAAACTTTTTGTATCCCGGATGCTGTCGTTCGGGATAACGTTCTTGATACAACCGCGCTGCTGCTCGTGCATTGCAGCTTGTTGCTCCGTATGCCAAATGCATATCCGCCAATTCTTGATCGGTAAAGTTTTCCATTAGCAACAATTAATTTTTGTTAAATTCTTGCAAACTTCACAAATACGATAGCACGACTGAGGCTGTATGGAATGCAGCTACAAAAAACAATCTCTGTTATCGTTTTTAAAGATAACAACACAAAAGCGCCGGATATGGGTCCCTATACTCAAATGTTTTCTACTGTTACACTGAATAACCCCTACGAGTTTGATCCGATAGTTCTGAAACACCCTGTATAGTGGACCTGTGTCTATATTTCATATTACAACGTAAAACAAATCAGATCCTTACGTCGGTGCAATTGTATGAGTCCTGTATCCTGCATGTGACGATAACGTAGATGTTTTGATGTCGATTCAGCCAAACTATGGCGACGTTGTTTTGACCATAAAAGGAAGCGCTGGTGACGTAACTGTCTGGTTCTACGCTATTCGTGGGCTTGAGTTCGAAGGGGAAAAGGTATTTGGGTCGAGTTAAGTTCACGATCCAAACGGTGACTTCCGGATTCGGTGTTTCGGCCTGGAACAAAATAACATTTTATGAGAAAATAATGTTTGTATTATAAAATCGTATAAAATTTTGTGATGACGCAGTTCCAGTGCATTAAAGGTGCATGTTTTTGTATCACTTTCCAAGAAATCAGGTTATTGCATAATTTTTGTAGACGGTTTTCATAAGATTACAGACTTTGTCGTAGATAGTAAGAATCATGTTTCACAATGGATCACACATATACTCGTACACTACCTATCTTATTTATTTTTTTTTATTTATTTAGCAACATCCAGCAGCCAAAGCCAAGTACAGGATAGATAAAAATGAAAATAAAAAGAAATGCATATAAGTGGAAGATGCATGTAGAGAATGCTGAAACGCTGAAAAAAAATCTCAAACAGAACTCTGAGGAAAAAAGCGTTCCAGTTTTACCCACCCATCACTCAACAATCACACCGGGAACATTTATGCAAGCATTAAGGAAAATAAGCATTAATATCTCCCAAAGTCGAACAAAACGAAAATATATCTACAACGTTATTATCTGAGTAGCTCCATCGTTATGTAGTTTTGTTTCGCCTTGTCGGAGTTCCATCCATTGAGAACATGATTTGACTCGAACAAGCCACGTAAATCGTAGCATCCGCTGCGAGCAAGCTGCGTGGTTTGGAGCAATGTATTTTTCACGATTAAGCTCGTATACTCGTATTTACGACAGTCTCACCAGCAACTGTACTCGTAGAGAAATTTATTTGTCGCATCAAAAGTCATGGTTCCGATGACATCACAATTGATATGTTCGGTATAATATAAGCATTTGCTCAAGGATATTTCCTTCATTATTAACTTTTGTATAACAAATAATCTTTATCCCTTCTCTTGGAAGAATAATCTTGTCCTCCGTCTGCCTAAGTCTAATAATCCTTTAGTTGTTTGTGAATTTCGGGCTGTAAGCATTTTAAATTTCTAAGCTTTAGAAACTGCCCTATACGAGCAATTGCATGCTTTTCTCCACTGCCCAATCTGGTTTCAGACCATTACATTACAGAACCAACGCACTTCTGTCTATATAAAATGATATTTATAGTGTAGTTGATCAAGGATAGATGTCTTGCTTAATTCTTCTTGACTTTGGCAAATATTCAAATGAATGCAAAGCTAGAAATTAGTTGCGCATCCACTTCTTATTCACCCTGGAAATTATATATGCATATTTGCTGGATTTAAAAAAATGAGAGGCATAAGAAAAGAAAGTCTCTAGTTAGTGAAGTATATTAGAACCAACAGGCGAGAACATATGCTACAAGCAGGAATATTTATGACATTTTACATTATTTTCAGTCATTTAAATTTTATAGAAATTTATTTTGCGATGTCATGTAGAAAATTCAAATCAGCGCCTAGATGTGGGGCATTCGAAAATGTTCTGTGTGTGATGCGTCATCCTTATTTTCTGTGGATTAATTACATAATGCTTCTCAAAGTTTTTTAAAATACAAAAAAAAACGGGGAAAATCGTAATTTATAACTTTGAACATAACCTCTCTTCAGAAAGGACAACACGAATAACCCGTCTGGTACAGCTAATAGATGTACTTCATGGGCAGCATATTCAGTAATAATTTCCTCGCATAACAAATATCACTGATTTCATACACATGCAGACAAATACACATAATCACCACACAATCATCCAGATGCGATCCTGCTTCTCTGCTACTCAACTAATTTTCTTCGTCACATGTTCTCAGAGATATACTCTACATACTGTCTCGGCGTGCTGCAACCAACGAAGCATGCTGGGGAACTATTGAGCGTGTCGTTGAGACATTCCTCCACAGATGGCGCTGTTGGTGACGCTAATAGCGAGCATTAAATATCCAGATAGCAACTGGACATATTGTAGGTTTGTTTTGACACGATATAAGGTTTTTTCGTAATAACCCTGCCGGATACTTAGCATTAATTTCTCGATGCACGTGTTGCTGTATGAAACTCAAAACAACTGGAGTCTGGAAACTCGCAGCACAGATGCCTTTCAAATAACTTGTTTGAATCATGTTATAAAGTTGCACTATATGCCTCTGTAGTCCAGCTACACATTTGTAGTTACGTCCACACTTCGTAGGGGTCCTAGTAGTGACAAATGAAAATGTATACATTAACTTCCTGGAATGAGTGCAGACTACCATGCCACGCAAGCAGTGAATTCATTATCTCCGCGGCACACTGTACTTGTTTGTCTTGTTTCTTCACCGTTAATTATTTCACATACTACCACGAATGTCTGTGCTAAGTGTTTCACTGAACTGAGCGGCTTAGAGCAACTCGAAAGCCTTCAGATATGCTAATCAGGTATAAGAGCCTTGCGAGTTGTGCTTGGCGATTATATTAAGCTAGTAGTTTGGCGAGGTTTGACTGCGTCTTCCCAAATTACAACGAAAATTGCTATTTCAAAAGAGAAATCAAGCGTTTGGTATTAAGTTTTGGTTCATATGTAATCTGTCCAAAATTTTAGCGGGTATACGGTATTAATAATAATAATATTAATAATAATAATTATAATAATAATAGCTTTATTGTCCAACAGTTTCCTATTTATAGGACAATTTATAAACATAATACAAAAGTAAAAAAGCGAAAAGAAAACAACAAATGCAACACAGGTATAAATTTGTAACATGAGCTATTGGTCCAAATAAGCCTAGCTGCCTTTAGCAGGTAATTAACATTTGTCGTAAATATATCACAGTAGCATCCAATTCTGTTTAAGTTAGAGCACATTACATATAACGGTGACTTGAGAAGAATGTTTGTCCTAGCTCTAGGAAGCCCGAATATTTTATGATTGCGAGATACAAACGTTGGAGTACGAAACTTGATCTGTTCCAGGATCATGGGGCAATCAATTAAATTGTTGATCATTTTGTAGCCAAATATTATTGAGGCACAGTACCTACGTTTTTTCAATGTCAACATGTCTAAGCGACTACATAGTACCTCATTACTTGTACCTCTCTCTGGATATGTCCCATCAATCCTAAACAGAACAAACTTCATAAACTTCCGTTGTACTCTTTCAATAGCTGTGCTATAGCATTCATAGTAAGGGCTCCAAATAATACTACAATATTCGACTTTGGATCTAACATAAGCATAATA